GTGAGATAAGCATGATATCTACCGAAGTAATATCCATGTGAAAACATGACTCAAATCCATCAAATAAGTTGACTTTTGCTGGATCACGTTGTTAAGAGGCTAACAACCATAAATTTTTAAATGAAGGGCCAATAACCTTGGGGTTTGAGCCAAAATTTAAAAGGGGATAATGTAATTGATAACTTTGGAGACCCCATCCATGCAAAAACAAAGATTTGGGACCCAATCCTTATGCTTTCAAAAGTTTAGAGCTCAATCCTCGTGCTATTTTTCATTCGGCAAAACCACATTCTTTTATTGGACCAAAGATGGAGCAAATGATTTGTTGCACAGATGCAGCAACATCCCTCACACATGGATCATTAAGAAAGAAAAAAAAAAAAATTGCCATCTAATTTTTCCATGCAACATTCATTCATGTATTGATGTGTGGTTTCCTTTGTTTTGTAGACAATGCTGATTTACATTTGATAACAACATCTATGAAACACGAAATCCAAGAGTTGCAAACCCTTTACCCTTTGGATAGCGAACAATGAAAATCCGGTTATTATGAGTAATGCTCTGATGAGAGACCTAACCAAAAGAACACCATACTTTACAAAAAGAGAAAGTGGAGGTAAAGGAACAAAATCACCTTTTCATCTTCTGGGAGGATCCAAGATCTGATTCATTTCTATTTCTACAGCTTCAAACTCCCTCTGGCTTCTATACTTCTCTGCCTCTCTTGCAATCTGAATGTCACAAGGTGTGTAGTACTGATAAAGAACTTTTATAACAAAACGAGGAATCAATGCTGTCACAACAATGGCAAGTAAACACAACCAAAACAACCATGTCTTCGCAACATGAAAGATGGCCCTGTCAAATTATATCAAAGCACCAAGGATCAGAAAGAATAAAGATTCATGCACAAGAATGTGCAGGGGAAACTATGGATGTTAAATATAGGATTAGAAAGGGAGACATACCAGTAACCAGGTAAAATTGGTAAATCATCAATGACGATGACACAAACAAAAGTTGCAATTATAGATCCCCAAATCGCTGCATGACTAATCCAATTCCATCGAATTACATCCATTGCCAAGTGTAGATTAACCAATATAACAGCCGCAAGAGTCCAAAGATCTCCTAGACTTGATCCATCTATGGTACTGCCCCAGTATGCACCAAGAGGAATAAAGAAAGCAGCACTGCTTTGCCACAAAGTGTCAATCATTGTTAGCCAAAATAATTTCTTGTTGTAGCATTCTTGTCTGTGACCAGCCCCATAGAGCTGAGGGCACTTCAGAACAGTCCTCCTGCTTAGATCCTTGTCAAGAATACCAACAGCAATTGTAGGCACTGATGTATAGATTACAGAATATAACACACTGCTCCACTCGGTGATTGCAGTGGTCAAAGTGAAACAAGCAAAAAGCACATACCTGCACAAAATAGCAATTAAAATATTACGCAGACATAAAGCTGATAAACACTGGCTTTACCATAGTCCATGCTTAAACAACAAACAAATTGTAAATTATAATTTTGACTCAGCACCTAGTTTGGAATCAAAATTCAGTTATCTTCACACTATTATCCTCTGGTTAAAGCGACACAATTAAATCAAAGATTATTTGTATGCATAAATTATTTGAACATGTATTATTTCAAGAAATACTCACCAAAATAAAATAAGGACAAACACTGCATTCCTATAAAAATTGTACAAGATCATGTAGCCCATCCGCTGGTAATTCCAGTGACCATGGACCAACAAAAGTGGAACCAAGAACCTGAACTGAGCCATTGCAAAATCTGATGCCATTACAGCTTGCCGACCCTCTTGGCCACTGATACCAACTCCCACATCAGCAGCTTGGATCATGGAAACATCATTAGCTCCTGTAAATTATCCAGTGAAAGTTTTAAAGTTAGAAAAAATCACCAAGAGAGTGGATAAATTTTCTCCAAATTGCATTTATGCATCTCATGTATTGTTAGCCTTTTGATTTAAATCAAAAAAATGAGGATGATAGTTACCGTCTCCAATAGCAAGTGTCATGTCAGCAGTCCTTTTCTTTACAAGGGCAACAATTCCAGCTTTTTGCAAAGGGGCTACCCGGCAACACAAAACCACAGAACATCTACTGGCCAGTTGGAAGAGCTGCAAGTCCAGATTTGTAAATAGTCAAATCAGCAATGCAAGATAAAAGTAACTAGAAAAGGGCACAGGCAGGTTAAGAACTGCTTACCATTTCTTCAAGTTCACTGTCAAGTATGTATACAAGGCTGGTACCATCAATGATCAAGGCTATCAATGCTGAACCAGCTCCAGAAGTTCCCCCAGTGTTATTGTTTGTTCCAGACACAGTCACAAACTTCTCACACATTGCCATGGCATCAACCAAACTCTTCCTACATGACTCCCTAGAGTTGCTGTTAATTATAATCTGGGCCATCTGGCCTGTGAGGAGCTTTGAGGAGTAGCCAATTGATATGGCAGTTTCTTGCTTGTCACCAGTCAATACCCATATTTTTATCCCTGCTGTTCTTAAAGATTCTATGGCTTCTGGTACCCCTTGCTGCAGTTTATCTTCAATGCCAGAGGCACCCAGTATGCAAAGCTTGTTTTCCACATTACTAGCAACCTTCCGAAGCAAGGCTGCCCTACCAATCAGAGCGGTGCTTGCGGACTCAAAAGAAGAGTGCCATTGTTCAAATTCTGTGGTATTCAGTTCTTTCATGCCAACAACAAGTGTTCTCAAACCCAAAGAGGAGTAAGTATGAAGATGAGATTCAGTTGCACGTATTATGTCCAAATTCAAAGATCCATCCATCACACTAAACATGGATGTATCAGCACCTTTTACAAAGACTTTTACAGTCTTGTCAGGGCATCCTAATATAACAGACATTCTCTTCCGGTCACTATCAAACTCATGCAAGCCCAAAACATTGAATCTGCACTGACCACGCAGGGTTATTCAACAAAAAGAAAAGCATTCAGATTCTATGTCTATAAAGTTATTGATCAGAGCAAGAGTGACTAACTGTTATTACTTCCACCAAACACCACCATTGTCATCTCATATTTTACTGCCAACACCATCTATTACAAATAACTATCTGTCCTTCCCATTGCAACAACAAGAAGAAAGCATTCTCAAATATGTTGTTATTCCAAGCTATATATAGAATAACTAGGTGAAATAGAGAATTAGCCACTTTTAACTGCAAGCAACTCTCAAGAAAAGAAATTAAGTTGTTTTCACTTGTAAGAGCGTAGAATTAATTTCAAACTAAAAACATCATCAATTTATTAATGGACGCAGCATTGCAGTGGCTTGGTGGTTGGTGTATTTAACAATGTCAAGAAAATAGGGTGGGAAATAAATATAGTGAAAAATAAATTAGCACTTCAAATTACCTCTGCCTATCTCCTTGAACATCAATAACTATATGACCAGAAGTTCGTTCTATCAGCATGAATCCATACGCTGCAGCAGCATAAACCAATGCCTGTTCATCTGGAGACTCCCCTTGGTAATCTACCAACTTCACATGGGGATCAGATATGTCTACAACAAGAGGAACAACAGTATTGCAAGCTGCCAGTGCAAGGAAGAAATCATGAACATGATTGTCTTCTTGAGCATCCTTTCTGCTTCTTGACAATCTCAGAAGCTCTGGATCAACCTTTACCCTCATCTTTGGCCTCAAAGTGTTTCCATCCACTGTTTTTCAAAAACCAAAAACGAAAATTAGGGCATTAAAATTAACATATATTTAATATACATATATATACATGTATATATAACTCAAATTTCTGACCAGAAAATTTACTTTTCTTTACCTTGGACAGAGTAACCATCTTTCTGATCTTCTGAAGCTGTCTTCCCACCACAGTAATCCACACCCCAAATGCTTGCACACTGAAATTCCATCTTGTTCTCAGTAAGAGTACCAGTTTTGTCAGAGAACACATACTTTATTTGTCCCAAATCTTCATTTATATTCAAGGCCCTGCATTGAAATCTTGAATCTGAAGCCTCATCGTACATCTGGCTATCACGAACCATGAAGTAGGCCTGACCAACCCGGACAAGCTCCATAGAAATGTACAGTGAAATGGGAATCATGATCTGGAACACAATAACTGCCATGAGGAATGTGAAAAATATCTCCATTCCCCAACCGTAGTAGTTGTAGTCCCCTATCTCATCCCCAGAGTAGTCCTGTTTCCTGTAAAAGACTATGTCATCTAACTCATTTCTATGGTGCCTCAACCAAACACCCGCACAAACAGAAACAACTGTACAGAGAGCAACAAGAAACAAAGAGAGAGTGATGATCTCATGGTTCATTTGGATCTCAAGCCGACTCCTTTTAGATGGGGCTCCTGAGCTGTTGAGCATAGCTTTGGTCTCACGGCCAGCATACACAGCAACCCCATGTGTCCAAGCAGTATTCTTAAGCTCACAGCCTCGAAGAATAATATTGGAAGGTCCTAGAGACAGCCGTTTCCCATCAATTTCCATATTTGCATGAAACCCATATATGTTCCTGTTTGGTTTCTCACACTTAATCAACCCAGAAAACTTCTCCTTTCCAGGAATCCTTGAAAGGGTTTCCTGTTTTGCATACCTTGTCTTCAAATTTGACTCTCCATCTAAATTGATAGTCTGCACATATGCAACCCCAGTTGGGTCACTTGTTGAAAGTAGCACCATATCACAAGGAATAGTTTCATTTGCATGAATTTTAATTATTTCCCCAACCTGAATGTGCTTCCATTTCTTTTGTTGAAACTGACCGCTCACCAAAACAGATGCCAACCTATTGTTCTCAACCCTGTCCGACCTATGCCGCCTATAGTCCTCATATGCATCCTTAATAGCCGTAACCAAGAGGACTATGGCCAGAGGCAAAATCGAGGCTCCACGGCCAAAAACCGCAAGCTGGGGCAGCTGATTAAGCACAGCAATCACAAGGAAATATATATACGCTACTCTATGAAACTGCTCAAACAAGTTCCTAGGCAAGAATGTAAAGACGGAGTATTTTGAGGTTCGAATTGGATTACCAGCAAACTCGAACCTCTCATTCGTCTTCCCTGGATCATCTATATAAATCAGCCTTGCATCTTCCTCGTTGACCTCCTTCTGAGACGTGCTCAAAACCTCCGACTCAGCTCTCAGAGACCCATATTGCACAGGCTTCGATAACAAATCACCAAAAGTCACCTCCTTCGTGGAATTCCCAGCAGAAGCCTTGGATTGAATTGAAGAAATGCTCCGTCGTGATGAAGTGCCTAAAGGGAATTCTATATTGGATGGATTCTCAACTGGGGATTTAGAATCTGTTCCGGAATTCATTTCAGGATCGCTTGAACTCGATTTCTCTATCTCAGATGATACCGGTGGGGCATCTGAATCTTGGATATTGGCAATGCTAGGCAATGGTATCGAAAGATGCTGACTTGATGCCATAATCCCCAGATCAAAGGCATCAAAAATAGCAGAATGCATCAATCAAGCAATTCATTGAAAGCCGAGGCAGTGATTCAAATAAAATTCATGCCCAAAACAGAAGAACAGTAACAGATTTTGAAAACCAACCAAAAACCCAGAATTGCTACAGCTGAGTAAAGATGAAAAAAACCCAATCCCAAATAATCTGCAAACAGACAACCATGAATATGTTGTACAAAAAGGACCAGTGCAAAGAACCTTTATATGTGCTGAAATTGCAGTCTTCAGAAGTTGCTTGAAGATCAAGACATTCTGGGAGGGAAAAGCTGACCATATAAATATGAACGTTAATAATTCTGGAGCTTGACTTTCTTCATTAGCCTGTAATGGCGTGTTTGGCACAATGAGAGGTGCAAAGTCAAAGGCATTGTAGATAGAGAGAGAGAGAGAGAGAGAAAAGAAGACAGTGAAGGCAAGGGGGTAGGCTTTCGCAAGGAATGAGCGAAGAATCGTAATGGGTGGCGACACAAAACTCAAATGAATTTCGTTTTCAAAAAGTAAAACCAATTTGGAAAAAAAAAGTCGTTTCCTTTACATGGAAATGGCGGAGAAAGAAGGTTACTTTCCCTGAGGATGAAACAGGAAGAAAAATCCATTCCTCATGCGTTGGAGCCTTCTAGAAGGATTGCTGAAGAAATTTACAGATTTTTTATTGTCACTGAATTACTAATTACAGGTAGAAGAGCCTGTCTCCTCTGACTTTGAGTTTTGACCATGAGAAAACTCCAACCAGTATTTCCTTCTGAGAAAAATTGAATACTACTTAGAGAGAGAGAATGAGGGGAAAGGAAAGTTGATATCTTTAATCAGCATTCAACTACCACTACTTTAATTGATGCTCCTCTTTATTAATTCAGCTACTGTTAGCCCCAGTTTCTCCCTTTTAATCATACTCACCTCCCCTGCTTGCTTTCTATGTTATTTATTATTAAATTTAACCTCTTTTTTTTGTATGTTTTAAAAAATTATTTTATAATTCAAATTATTTTAAATTATAGATATGAAATTATTTCGAAAAACTCAAATATTTTAGGGGTTTTAGCTGGGTGGAGGATTTGGGGTTAGGATTGACAGCTATGAGAATCTCGTATACTACTCCACAAATCAACTACTAATTTGTTACTTTGGGTTTAGCAGGTTACCGTTGTCTGTATTTTAGTACAATGCATGAACTAAATTAAAAATTGTAATAACGTTAGTTCATCGTTTACCAAAATAAAATTTGTAAATGGATTTTCTTTTTCATTTTAATTTGTGCTTCGTATGTTACAACCTCCTTACTAAAATCATTATCCTTATTTAAATTTAGAGAGTAAAAAAAAAAAAAAAACAATTACTATATTTTGTGCGAATGAAGTGTTATTGAGATTATATGATTGGTGCAAATGCTAGAAGTTTGGTCAAAATAAGTAGACGAGTGCTATCCACACGCAATAATTCATTGCGGTAGTGTACAAGCACACAGCACCTCATTAATCCCTTCCCCAGCATTTCCTTCGGTAGAATAGAAAGTTTGGTTAGTTTCCCCGACTATGCAATTTCTTTTCTCTTTTTTTTTTTTCACTCGAATATCCAAAAGTTTATTACCTACCGAACTAATTCAGATTCAAACTAGACATAATTAAGATATATCATAATTTTTTAGATAAATATAATAAATAATAAATAAATCTCAATTATTAAAAATAAAAAAATAAATATATATGTGATCTTTAAAAGTTGTGTGTAATTACATATGAGTTGTGTGTACACAATAAAAATTCTTTTATTAAAATTTTATATGCTAAATTACAATT